CTAATCACTTAGGGGAGACCTYGACCTCTAAGATATTAGGGAAAGTAAAAAACAATTTGAAAAACAACATGTTTTGCGRCCAATTTTGGATTTCTTTGAAATGATTCATTAAAACGTTAGATTTTCATTAATACATAAGCAAAAAACGACACGAAATAGCCGAAAAAGTGTTTTTTGTAGATAAATGGGCTTGAAACTAATAAAAATAACACAAAATTTTAAAAACAGACAAATTTTTCTTAAAAAATAACAGATTTGCAAACAGATCTGGCATTTTTTTGTTTCCATTTAAAAAAATATTAAAAAATACGATGTAAAAATAATCAAAATCAAATGAAAAAAAACCAATCACTTAGGGGAGACCTGGACCTCTAAGATATTAAGGAAAGTAAAACATTTTTGAAAAACAACATGTTTTGCGCCCAATTTTGGGTTTCTTTGAAATGATTCAGCAAAATCTTATTTAAACGTTAGATTTTCATTAATACATAAGCAAAAGACGACACGAAATAGCCGAAAAGGTATTTTTGTAGATAAATGGACTTAAAAGTAATGAAAATAACACAATATTTAAAAAACAGACAAATTTTCCTTAAAAAATAACAGATTTGTAACCAGATCTGGCATTTTCTTGTTTCCATTTAAAAAAATATTAAAAAATACGATGTAAAAATAATCAAAATCAAATGAAAAAAAAATATCACTTAGGGGAGACCTGGACCTCTAAGATATTAGGGAAAGTAAAACATTTTGAAAAACAACATGTTTTTCGCTCAATTTTGGATTTCTTTGAAATGATTCATTAAAACGTTAGATTTTCATTAATACATAAGCAAAAAACGACACCAAATAGCCAAAAAGGTATTTTTTGTAGGTAAATGGGCTTAAAACTAATGAAAATAACACAACATTTAAAAAAACCGACAAATTTTTCTTAAAAAATAACAGATTTGCAAGCAGATCTGGCATTTTGTTGTTTCCATTTAAAAAAATATTAAAAATACAATGTAAAAATAATCAAAATCAAATGAAAAAAAAACTAATCACTTAGGGGAGACCTGGACTTCTAAGATATTAAGAAAAGTAAAACATTTTTGAAAAACAACATATTTTGCACTCACTTGGATTTCTTTAAAATGATTCAGCAAAATCTTATTAAAACGTTAGATTTTCATTAATACAAAAGCAAAAAACCACACGAAATAGGAGAAAAGATATATTTGTTGTAGATAAATGGGCTTGAAACTAACATAAAATTAAGAAAACAGACAAATTTTCTTTAAAAAATAACATATTTGCAAGCAATTTCTTGTTTCCATTTAAAAAAAAAATATCAAAAATACGATGTAAAAATAATCAAAATCAAATGAAAAAAAACTAATCACTTGGAGGATACCTGGACCTCCAAGATATTAAGGAAAGTAAAACATTTTAAAAAAGAACATGTTCTGCGCCCAATTTTGGATTCCTTTGAAATGATTCAGCAAAATCTTATTAAAACGTTAAATTTTCATTAATACATAAGCAAAAAACCACTCGAAATAGTCGGAAAAGATATTTTTTGTAGATAAATGGGCTTGAAACTAATGAAAATAACACAAAATTTAAAACACAGACAAATTTTCCTTAAAAAATAACAGATTTGCAAGCAGATTTGGCATTTTCTTGCTTCCATTTAAAAAAATATTAAAAAATACGATGTAAAAATAATGAAAATCAAATGAAAAAAATCTAATCACTTAGGGGAGACCTGGACCTTTAAGATATTAAGGAAAGTAAAACATTTTGAAAAACAACATGTTTTGCGCCCAATTTTGTATTTCTTTGAAATGATTTAGCAAAATCTTATTAAAACGTCAGATTTTCATTCATACATAAGCAAAAAAGGACACGAAATAGCCAAAAAGGTATTTTTTGTATTTAAATGGGCTAGAAACTAATGAAAATAACACAGAATTAAAAAAAAAACAGACAAATTTTCCTTAAAAACTTACAGATTTACAAGCAGATCTGGCAATTTTTTTTTTCATTTAAAAAAATATCAAAAAAAATACGATGTTAAAATAATCAAAATCAAATGAAAAAGACTAATAAT